ACACACACACACACACACACAGTGAGTGTTTCTCCAAAGGCTCTCTCTGTCCCTGGCAGGGACACATTGAACTGTGGGACTCCTGCCACACACAAACAAACACTCAGTCATTCACAAAAAGATAATCCCCTACAACAAATTGACTGGCTGAAGAGAAAGATTTAGTTTGGTGGACTACAGCCCTTAACTGTTAGGATGGAAGAAACAAGTTTGACATAATGAGATGAGCAAAAACACAAGGTGAAAGTTAATTGTTTTTAAATGGACCACTCTCTGCTGTCCCTTAATTTCCTTGGAAAAATACCACTTTATCCCTTTGAGCAGTAATATTCTCCTGAACCGTCCTGAAAAGTAGATTTAGACAACATGTGCTAACTTTGCTGCATGTTGCAACATCAAGATATAATAAATCACAATCTTACTGATTAAAATATTCAGAATAATGTTTTCTGCCTGCAGAATTTCAGATGGAAAAATTTCCAGATGTTCTGTGGGTTTCAACAATGCCTCGCTTTGCTGCAGCGTAACCGGTGGTGACCAGCGGAGGAGAGGAGATGAGAGAACGAGGAAAGGAGAGGAGAGGATGAGGAGAGAAGGATGAGATAAGAGGAAAGAGGAGAGAAAAGAGACCATAGAAGGAGATATATAACCCCTGTCACATTATCTGGATCAGCTGATAGCATGACTATCTATGGTTAGATGTGCACACACGCACGCACACACACACACAAAGTCACATGAGGGAGTTTTCTCTGACCCAGTGGAGGAGAGAGAAAAAAAACATGTGTATGGATCACATGTTGGAAACTAACTCTGAGGTAGGTGGTGGGTCAGCTGAGTTAGTGTCAGAGTGGTTTGACCCTGTGATATTATTGGGTTTATTAGGATTTGCCTTTTTAAATGGAAAAACCGCAAGCTGATATCAATCAAATCCTTTAGGCTCATAGAAAAACAGAATTCTTTCTTTGCAATTTCAGAATCAAAAATTAAAGATTCAATAGTTTATTTTAGTGAGATGACGGCAGCCTGGAGGCAAAAGGCAACACTGAGTAGAAGCTTGTTATGGAAATCTTCATCTTCATCCCCTGAGCAACAAAAGGTTAAGACACAGAGCCGCAAAGAAAAATCACACAACACATGTCTATCACCACTGTCTTGTGGTTAAAGGAAATGCAAGACTGATTGAGCTTTTTCAGCCCACCAGAGAGACCAAATGAATTGAAACGAGTAGTATTACCCATTCTCATTTTTCTCACCATCTTTAGTCAGTTAGCGAGAGAAAAAAAGAGTATCAGGCTACAGCTTGGTAAGTAGCCAGGGCCTGTGCTTTCTCCATCAACTCAGACTGTCATCCGTCAACCGTGATGCCCACTTATAGCTAGTGTGTGTGTGTGTGTGTGTGTGTGTGTGTGTGTGTGTGTGTGTTTAAGAGAGGGGGAGACATGTGGACGGCAAGTACGAGAAAGTCTGGACTACCTCAAGTGTGAGTAATAACAGCCGTTGTCTGGGTTTGTAGATGTAGGACCTGGAGACATTAAAATGCAATCAGACGAGGGCAGGAGAGGCGACGACAAGAGAGGGAGGGTTGGTTTGTGTCTAACTTAAAAAAAAGAAACACTACAGGCTTCAACTATCACGTTAATGTTAGCAGTGTTATTATAGCTCAATAAAATCTGAGAGTAAAGCTGTCTAACATCCCTAAACAAGGACTAAATCCACGTATAAAAGCATTCGGTGACAGTAAATGCAAGTCAATGGAACTCTGGCAGAGTAGAAGACGGTACCTGGAGGTGGCCGGTGCGGAGGTGGATGATGGTAATGATAAAAATGGCTCCAACTGACACAACAACGCTCATCAATGAATACAGCCACGACGACCACATGGTGACCGATGGGTTTTCAATCAGCCGGGGGGACTGACGGTCTGATGCAGCTCTTCCGCGACACACCCCAAACTCGGTCCCTCTCTGCAACCTCGGCCTCGCACAATCCTCGTCCCCACGCGATTTCCATGTGTGTGTGTTTGTGTCGGTGTGTGCGGAGGAATAAACAATTGTGGAGAATTTGATTGGCAAAACAGGAGACAAACATAATCTGGGTATGCAAATCTCTGCACAGGTCACAACTTTTGAAAGACCCAGATGGAGCCATGTGTGTGTGAGTGGGTGCATGAGTGTGATTATTATACATGTTTTTCTACTGATATATGTTTGAGCATGTATGAATGTCAAATATTCAATTTGCATGAATGTGTCGAAATGTGTGACATGTATACGACTTAAGAGATGATTTGTGCGGAAAAATATTTGCATTTTGAGAACATGGTGCCATTTGAGCAACAATTATTACTACAGGGAGGTGACACGAGGGTCCGAGGAAAAAAAAAACTTTTGTGAAACTCAAAGTACCGATTCATATCAGGACCCACTGAGTAAAAATCATTCAATAACAATTTTTTTCAAAAGTTTAATTCACCTACAGCTGCAACTGAGATGCAGTAGAGCACACACAACAACAACAACTACTACTACTACTAATAATAATAATAATAATAAGTATACTGATGACATGATGCTATTGTGATTGATAATAACAGTATGTAACAATAATAGAACATGAGGAGAACAATAAAATAGATTATATGAATCAATACGATCAGGGTAAATAAGAGCCAATGTATGTAAGTCATTTATAAAAGTTTTCATAAAAACAAACATTTGAATTAGTCTTACTTCTCATAGATATTACTTCTGTATCAGTATGTTTCTATGAAGTGATCAAGTTTTTCTTTGACCCCACGATGTCACCAAGTTTTAATCAAATCCACTCAGTAGTTTTTGTGTAAATCTGCGAACAGACAATACAAACAGCAATGGAAATATATCCTCATTGGCAAATGTAATACTTGATCTATATTGATCTATTCATCAGCTGCCTGTGTCAGCACTAATCTACACTGTCCTCCATAACATCAACAACAGCCAATGTAAAGTCAATGAGAATTTTTTTTTGCTGTAATTCAATCCTGCAAATTACGAAAAACAGACTAGAAAATCATCTGTTACATGATTCATCACTGCCTCCATATTGCTTTTCTTCTGTACATTTAGTGTCAGTGTTTGAGTGCTTTTCCACATTAGTGAGGGCATTATGTTTTACACTATCAATCATCAGGCACCCACAGGGGGGAATGGGCGTCTCTGCCAGAAAATAATTCCTCAAAACCTCCTGCTTCATGTGTGTTCAAGTGCTAAGTGATCGTGCATGTCTCTTTGTCAAAACGTTTTTAATATGTTGAGTTTGTTATTTAAATATTATAGGAATAAAATACTATGAGAAAAGCCGGACATGAAGCTGAAACACATCTCAAAGAGGTGTTTGAATTGGCAAAATCCACGCTTTTTTCTCCGCCTAAAACTTCCATCAAAGTCTCTGTCTCTCTTTTTCCCCTTTTTTCTGGCTCGTCGCTCTGCGGCTGTCTCTCTGACTCCCTCTCTCCCTCCGTCTCTCCTATCTCTACCCCCCAGACCAATGGATGACAGGAGGAGAGCAGGAAAAGCAGTAAAGTTTCCATTGAGAGAGAGAGAGAAAGAAAGAGAAAGAGAGAGAGAGAGAGAAAGAAAGAGAGAGAGGAAATGGTAAGCGAAGGAACTTCTTGCAGACAGGAAGTTGGGGGGGGGGGTGCCGCTTGCCTCAGCGACAGTATTTTCCACATCCTCCGCTGACTACAAACAAAAGAGAAAAGAAGAAAAAAAAAAGGCCTTGCCCTCTGTAAACAACAGAAGAAGCTCGGAGGGGAAAAAAAGAAGCACTGAGTTTGTATCGGCTGCATCATGTGAATGTGCATCGTCTCTTTTAGCACATACATTTGCAGATAGGATTTAATACGACATGCATTTAAGATATATTACAGATCTAATTGTGCAATCATCATTATCATTTGCATTGTAAAAGAAGGGATAACCACAAACAAAATGCATAGACGTATGGAAATTTGAGGATTTCTTTTGACCATGAGAACTCGGGTTACACACGGCGACCATATATCACTCATTAGAACGCAGGAAAGGAGTGAAGTGAGGCTGAGAATGGGTGAGGGGAAAAAGAATGGGCAAAGGGTAACTCTGGGTTACAAGTGTGCAGTGTGGAAAGGCAGGGGAA